GGGGGGGGGGGGGGGGGGGGGGGGGGGGTGGCTAAGCATGGGTAGGAGGGGCCCCCTCCCTGGTGTTTGGCTCCCGTACCCAGTCCCCCCCCCCCCCGATGCTCGGCATCCACCCCCCGCTTCCCACCTCCCTCAGTTCCCCCCTGCCAGGGCCTCACCCTGGCGGTGGCTATGACCATGAACCAGCGCAGGATCCCAGGCAGCGGATAGGCCGTCACGTAGGTCGTTCTCTCAATCCACATGGTCTGCACGGGGGTGTCAGAGCTCAGTCATCACATGGGCCTTGGCTGAGGGAAGCTGAACAGTTCCTCCCACCTGGGAACCCCCCGGCCCCCCCGAGCACAGGGCCCCCCCGATGCTCACTCCCACCCTGGCACACCTGCACCCCGCCATTCCCCCCTAAGAACGGGGCTCCCCCCCACCCCAGGAACTGGCTCACCGCAAACTCGTTGTCAGGGTCCTTCGGGCCTTTCCTGAAGGGCCGCGAGTAGCTGAACTGCTGGACGTTGTTGGCTTTATAGAAACTGCAGGAAGAAGGCAGGGTCAGCGTCGAGGGGGCGGTAGCATCGGGGGGGGGTAGCGAGTCGGGGGGGGGGGCACTCCCTCCATGTACTGCACCCTGTTCCAGGACCTGCATCAACTACCCACCCCGCCCCGCCCCAGCACCCATCCTGGCCCCCTGGGGAATTGCCTTCCCATACCGGGGGACCCACCCCCCAAGCACCCTTCCTGGCCCCAAGAGCTGCGGCTGGGGGGCACTGGCACGCCCTCCTTGGGGGGTCTGGGCCCTGGGCACTCACTTGACAATCTGCTCAGGGACGTTCCTGCCCCTGAATCGGTCCCTGGCCTCCTCCACGGGCTGCACGGTGAAGCACTGGATATCTGGGCCGAGTGAAGGAGCAGCCAGAGCACGGGTCTGTCCTGGGCTGAGCCCTGCGCCTGCCACACCCAGCCAGACCCCCGCGCAAGGGAAGCCCCGTGGCGGGCACACTTGGGCCTATGCGGGGCGCGCTCGGGAGAGGGGAGGGCCTATGCGGGGCGCGCTTGGGATGGGGGACACGCTCTGCCAGGCTCCCGGGCCCGTGGTAACACCGACAGCCCCCGGTGGTCAGCAGGCAGGGCCGGCGCTTCCACTGGGCGACCCTAGGCGGTCACCTAGGGCGGCAGGATTTGGGAGGCGGCATTTTGCCAACCTCGGCGGAAATTCAGCAGCGAGGGCTCCTTCTGCTCTGGGTCTTCGGCGGAAATTCAGCAGCGAGGGCTCCTTCTGCTCTGGGTCTTCGGCGGAAATTCAGCAGCGAGGGCTCCTTCTGCTCCGGGTCTTCGGCGGAAATTTGGCAGCGGGTCCTTCACTCGCTCCGGGACCCGCCGCCGAAGTGCCCCGAAGACGCGGAGCGGAAGGACCCACCGCCAAATGCTCAGAGGAGGAGCGCTGCCGCCTGGGGCGGCAAAAACCCTGGCGCCGCTCCTGGACCCAGGCGGGATTGAACCAGGGGCCTCTGGAGCTTAGTGCATGAGCCTCGACTGCAGAGCTAAAAGCCAGCCGGCTGTAGGGCAGACTTGTAATCTCGGTGCCACTAGATGCAACAGAGTAGGGTTACCATATTTAAAAAATAAAAAAAGAGGACACTCCACGGGGCCCTGGCCCCGCCCCTTTCCCACCCCCGGCCCC